CCTTGAACAGAGCATAAAGCTTTTTTTTTACTTAGAATTTTAACTATAATTGTGCTTGTTCTGTGTATACGTGTGAGCACAGAAGAGGCACTGGATTCCCTGGAGCTGGAGGGACAGGAGTTGTGAGCAGCCTCTGAGACATCAGTCTGTGTTCTTAACCACAGTGCCATTTCTCCAGACCCAAGGCATTTTCTTAAGAACATTAGCAATTCTGGTAGGCGTTTCCAAGGCTCTCAGAACCTAGGGACGGTTACCGTCGCTTCGTTATATAGAGTTCATCAAGAAGATGCCGCTCTTCGTAGCTCATCCACCGCTCGTCAGGCAGCTCCTCTTCTTTCTGCAGCAGCTGCTCGTAGAGTCGAACTGGGTTCCAGCCCGTCATGATGTCATAAGTAATTACACACCCCAAGGAATGGGATACTATTGAGACTTTACCCCCTTTTTCTTCAAAGTCTGGATTCCGAGAACAGAAAAGGGAATATAATCGATTCAGCTCTTGCTGAAGGCCTTTAACTAGCTGTTTGAAATAAGAAAATACAATCATATTAGATTTTTCATTGAGGGCTATAAACTTTATTTCTAAATGCAAATGCATTAAGAAAAACAAACATGATTACTGAAATATAAACAGGTTATTAAAATTACTCAGGTGCTTTAAAAAGATACAGGAATGCAGGTCTGTACACATGCTACAAACTGCCTCATCACCAGAGTCTCATCACCCCAGGCAGAGACCCTCATCAAGATCCACCCTCTAGTAGCGTTCAGTAAATTACACGAGCCAGCTGTCCCACAGACAGAAAAATTTGCTTTTGGATTCTAACAAGATCTCCAACGACCCCTGGAAATTTCTACTTCACGGCAATTTATTGTCTATCAATTCTAAATTTTCACTGAGTTGGCTTTAGTCAGCTTTAGTCATAGTAACATTTTTAGAGGAATTTAAGTTTATAACAGATACACTGAAGATAGACTATGTAGTAAGAAGCTGCTGCATGGAACAGTCACCAGAGACCTCCACAGTTTACATCTCATCGTGCTGTTGACAAAAAAACAAAAGATGACTTCAGTGACTGAGCTCAACGTGAAGCAGCTCAGTACTTCATCTTTGGGAAGCTATCGAAATAACCACCTTCCCCAAACCCACAAAGAAGGCTACTTTATCTCTCAAACTGTCCTGAACCCTGAAGTTTAGCACAGTTCTCTCTCCTTACTGTTTCTTCTATTTGATTATAAATTTTCAGTTTTTATTCATTTTACCTCACTAGTTAACAAGCCAGCTGTTTCTCTGATATATTTGTTTTTATAGAGCTTCTATTTTAAAATCATGTTATATCAAGAGACAACCAAACTCCCATCAGCTGCTACTGAATATCTTACACCCGATGGTATAAACTAGCATTCACTCTTGTACTTTGACTGGTGGGCTCAGTGACGTATGCATGAAGCCCTGGTATCTACTGTTGACATCTTAGAGTTCACTAAAACACTGAGGCTAATTTGAGCTATTGGAACTATGTGATCTGTCTGATGCAGTATATTCTGGCAATGAACACAGAGAGGAAAAGAGTCCCGGCTCCAGTGGCAATTGTCCTCCAATTCTCACATGGATCAGGATCTCTTGGGCAGACTGCTGCAAGTGGACTGGTGGGCTCTGGCTCCGAGTTCTCGACTCAGAGGCACTGGAGAGCCTGGGAATCTGCATTTGTAACACATTCCTGGAAAATGTTGGTGGTGCTATCTATCCTGAGAATCCTACTTTAGAAACTACTAGTTCAAGGAAAAATGAATATAAAAGTCTTTTAAGACTTGGGCTGTAGAGAAAACTCCAGAACTAAAGAGTACGCCATGCAATGTCACTCTGTGTACTGTTCATTAAGTTATCTCTTACAGTATTAAAAATCTGTAAGATAAAAAAAAAATTCCTTCCTTACAATCCAAGCAGCAGCTACAGAGAAAGGGCACGGGAGTGTTTTGCTTGGGATTGAATCCAGGACGTTTGTGTGCTTGGGCAGTAGACACTGACTCATCTCTACTACTATTGACTTATGAAGGTCTTGATTCTAAGGTTTATACCAGGTAAACACAGAAGTACTTCTGTACACTGGCAAAAAAGGACACAATTTTCACATATTTTAAAAACACAATCCTCAGAAAGTGTGACCTAAGAAGGAATAGCTGACACACAGCCTTGTTCCTCTAACCCTGGCTCTTTGGTGACCATTAACAAACTTAGGGTTTTTCTCTTGAGAAACAATCTCAGAGTCAAGAGATTAAGGGGTGAGCTAAATTAACCCCTGTGGAGACGAGAGTACCCCTCGTGGCACCCTGGCTGCTGGTGGCTCAGCGTCCACCCGGTCTCCTGTTTCCATGCTGAAGGGAGTGTCCACTCTTTTGAGGCAGCTCTGCTACTGCAAAGGTCCTCCCCACAGGACACGGCCATGTGCTCCCAGTCACTGATTATTTAGTGTCTATGTGAGAGAGTAACAGCAGGGATTGCCGCTTATTCTCATTATTTTATTTTTTATGAATGATTTGTCTGCATACATGTCTGTGCATCAAATGTGCCTGGAAGATGTCAGAAGAGGGGTCAGGATTCCCAGGAACTGGAGTCACAATGGTTGTGAGCCACCGTGTGGGTGCTGGGAACCGAACCAGGGTCCAGTGCAGGAGCAATAAGTGCTCTTAACTGCTGCACCACATCTGGCCCCGATATGAGGGATTTTTAATTTACAGACTGTCCTTCTGTAAACAAGTGAGTGAGCGAGCAAGAAACACGGCTTACTACGCACGCATTCCTTTTTTCTCCATAATGCTTTAAGTAGCAGTACCCAGATTCCCCGATGGTAGTACCTAGAACTGTTAATTTAAAATATAAACACAGGCTTCATTTCAGACCAAGTGAATCACAACCTCTAGGGGATGGACCTAGAAAACTGTTTTTCCCCTTAACTTGAATATTTTGTTTTCTCAACTTTTTATTTGAAAATATAAAATGTTACAAAGTAAAATTAATACAAAAAAATCAAATGTCTATGGTGGAGCTGGCTCAGGAGTTATGACAGCACAGTTCGCAGCACTCACCTAGGGTGGCTCACAGCAGTTAACACTTGAGGGAGCCAATGCCCTCGCCTGGACTCCACAGGCACCTGCACTCAGAACCACATTCCCCTCCTCACAACACAAAGTTAAGAAAGCCCACGTGTTATCTTTTGTTAGCGTTTATCACACTTGTGTTAGTTATTCTCTCTGCTTCTGTAAATATGCAATCACACACTTTCCCAAAATCTCTGGCAATTACTTGAGGGATACAGTATATACACTGTCATCTTTTATCTCTTAATGCTTCATTATATTTCCCAATGCTAGGAATATTTCTAGTGTCATTACTTGTGCCACATGGCATTACCTGGATATATTTTATCTAATCTACCACCACAACCCAACTCTGTCATCCATTCCTGCAGCTTCCTCATCTACTACAGGACAACAGGAAATGGGATACAGTCTTTATCAGATCTCTTCGCCCCCAGTAATCGGGAATTCCTGTAATTACTGTCTCCTATGGCACTGACAATAGAAAAGAATACAGCACCAGTCCCATGCCTTGTTTGCGTTTTTCAGGTATTTCCTCACAATTATGATGCTGCACAGGGGATGCTGCATCCTCCACTGGGTATCATATTCAAAGGCTCACAATGTCCACCTGTCCCGTGGGAAAACCCAGGATAGACGCTGCCTGAATTCTCCTGTGTGTAATTACCGTTCCTCTTTTGCAGACCAGGGAGCAGTCTGCGGGGATGCACACAATTAGCCTGCTCCTAAACAACGCTGCCCTCAACTTCACATTCACTGATGAACATGCCCAGCCCCTTACACTCAGCACTAAACGCCTACTGTGCAGCTCCAGTTAGCTTTACCGTTCTACTAAAAGCAAGGGACAGAGCCACTATCCAGTCAATTTTTCAAATTATAATCAATACAAATGAAAGTTTTAAAAAGTTGGTTTACAATCCTTTACTGCATTGCCATTACTGTAGCCCATGTCAAAGCACTAATAATTCCTGTAGTGAGCCACTCTGGTCCAGACAGGTTCAGATTCAGCCGACTGCAACGGTTCTCTAGCTCCGATCCTTGGGACCTGCCATTATTCTTTTGAACATTTCTTTAGTTTCTGTCACAAATTGTTCTGGCCTCTGAATCAGCTATATTCACAAGGAATTGTAATTTTTCTTTATGGGGAATAAGGCACTACAAACATCTGGGTGTTGTGTGCTCAGTGCGATAAGGGGAATCCTTGGTTTTTGGCTATTTCAGTGAACACTGCTGGGAAATGTATGCATGTAAACACAAACATCTGCATATACATATATACATACATATATAAAATACCTATAAGCACATTTTATAAATCATGAGCTCAGAATACCTTCATTCCTAGTCCCTATATACTTTATAATTATGCTATTTTTATTATTCTACCTTGTTTTTTTGAGCTAGGGCGTCACTCTGTGGTTCACAGGGGTCTTGAAATCATGGCAATCTTTCTGTCTTAGGCTCCTGAGTGTTGGGCTTTCAGTGTGAACCACCATGTACCTCTCTCCTTGTTTTGAGACAAGGTCTCTCTTTGTAGCTCTGCTTCCTCTGTGTTTTTCAGGAGCACCGAGCAGATGCTCTTACGAGGCCTCTCTGGGAAATGCTGGGAGGACTTGGCCTGAATCTGACCACATTCACTATTAAAAGGCTGATGTTACTATACAGCACACCTAACATGCCAAAATGGTCAGAGTACTTACCTCGTCCCTGTAAAGCGGGCTCGTGTAGTACATTATGTCCATCGCACTGCTGTTCAGCATGTCCCTCAAGCCTCGCACTTTGTCGGGAGTAATGGAATCAACAGTGTCTACAAACAAAACAAAACCTAAATCAAACTTACAGAAGGCTCCAGGGAAAAATCACATTTCCGAAAGTAACTTAATATTTAAGTAATAAACATTAGCGTGGACCTTTCCTTCTCGCAAAATATCCAAGATAAAACAAAAAGTAAAAGACAACAAAAAGAAAAGGGATGTTAGAGGATGAAGGCTATTAACAAATTTTTGGCCCTATTTACCCAGCCCAAATTATGCCCATCTGGCACACCTGGGCATGGCTAACAACAAACCAGGAATAAATAAGACTTTTCCTATGCTTCATATCTATCTGTCTCTTGTGAACCAATAGCTCTATGGGCAAGCATTGTCAAAGCATAAATAAACACAAAGACAAATGAGTTAGCAATGGGCTTCAGTAAACAGGACAACATTGGTGTAAAAGTGTGTGCACAAATCTTACCAACTGGAACTACTGGAGACTCAGAAGCAATGACAATGCTAAACCACAGGAGGGCAGAGCCTCAGGGCTTCATTCAAGGACAAGTCACTGCACTGGCTCACATTATTTAATTCCTATTTATTCTGTACTTTAGTACAGTGTGGTAAGGACTGAAAGGCACCATGATAAAGACTAGGATTCCCTCTCTACTCTGAACTAGTCTCCCAAATACTTTCTAAAGTGTTGGCCTTCATGTTAAGCCTTTGGTCCAGCTGATATATAAAGCAGACATCACTTTAACCCCCCACCCCCAACAGGATTATCAGCTTCCACGCACATTCAAAGTGCAATCCTTTCATGACTGGGCTGTAACACTGCTTTGTTGTGGCTTAGGTTCCACATTAGCACAGATGGGTGAGGCACGCACGTGCTGGGCTGCACCGGTTTATAGGCCCAGCTTTGTCCCAACATTAAAGTGTTTAAATCACAGAAGTTAAATGGCTCCAGCAGCTGAGGAAGACATGACTCTCCTCAAGAACTCTCGGTTCTTGGCTACTCTGGGCCCTCTGTCCTACAACCATTTTACAGTCAGTTCACCAAGTTCTGTGAATATCTAGAGATCGTTTTGGGAGTTAGCATCTCTAGAATACTCATTCAATCATCTAATCTGAGAGAATCATCTTTGCATTTAAGTTTTCCTATATTTTAATAGTTCTTAGACTTTAAAATCCAAATATACATATTTAAGTTATTTAAAATTATACTTTATTTAAGTAAAGTTGCATATTTGAGCTATTTCTTGGGGTCTTATATTTTTTATGTTGTCTGTTTGTTGCTGGTCTATAGAAAAGCAATTATCTTGCACATAAATCCTCTACATCATGACTTTGAGAAAATGATCAGTTCTATTTTTCTGTGTAGTTTTATGTATTCTGAGCAGACAACATGAAACCTGTAAATCAGAACGGGTGCTTTACACTTCTGATGCCCATCATTCCGTTCTCATGTTACTGCACTGCAGAGACAGGAAGTGATGGACATCTTAGTTGCTTTTTACTCTTTCACTACCTGAGTACACTGATATTTGCTATACCATACTTTTACTTGGAAATTTATAGAGTCAAGCTGATTGTGAATATTAATACTTGCACAGTTTTATGCAACAAACGCTGTGATGAGGACAAAGAACTGTTCTGACTTAAACAGTTCTCTCCCCTCCCTTAAATTCTGACAGTCACTGGCTTGTTCTTTGTGACTGTAGTTTTGTTTTTTCTAGTTAAATGAACAAAAGCATACAACACAAGATCTTTCTGGTTGGTTTCTTTCAGTTATCTTAATACCTTCAAAACTATCAAAACCTCTGTGTGTTTATTTGGGACTGAATCATCAGTAGGTGATTCCCAGAATCCTAGGGCTCAGGAGGCTAAGACAGGACTGTGAGTTCAAGGCCATCTGGGCTACAAAGGTGAGACTGTTTCACATTGTATCATGGCAATGTGAACTTAGCCAGAACTACAGGCTCAAGGGTTTAGGAACTGTTAATCCATCCTGTTGTCTACATTCCTGGCATTTACTTGGGTGAGCCAGAAAAGTCCACAGTGTTACTATATGTGTAGATGGAAATTCCTGTTCCTCCCAGTCCTACAGCCATTCAGTCCCAAATAAACACACAGAGGCATATATTAATTATAAACTGTTTGGCCTACTGCTCAGGCTTATTACTAACTAGCTCTTATGACTTAAATTCACCCATAATTCTTGTCTGTGTTTAGCCACGTGGCTTGGTACCTTTTCTTAGTAAGGCATCACATCTTGCTTCTTCTGCATCTGGCTGGTGACTGACTCTGCCTTTTCTCTTCCCAGAATTCTCCTAGTCTGGTCACCCCCACCTATACTTTCTGCCTGGCTACTGGCTAACCAGCATTTTATTAAACTAATAGGATGATAAATCTCTATAATGTACAAGAACATTATCCCACAGCAAATATGGAACTTTATATATGCACCATAACTGCTGAGACATCTTCCTTGGTCACTAGTATTTAGCTACTTTGTGGTTTGAAAGTAAATGTCCCCTGAAGGGAGGTGTGGTCTTGCTGGAGAAGAGTGTCACTGTTGGGGTGGGCTCTGAGGTCTCCTATATGCTCAAGATACCACCCAGGCTTGTATTTCACCTCCTGTTGCCTGCAAGTCAAGATGTGGGACACTCTGCCACTTCTCCAGACCATGTCTGCCTGCATGCCACCATATCCCACCATGATGATAATGGATTAAACCTCTGAAACTGTAAGATACCCCAAATAAATGTTTTTTTCTTTATAAGAGTTGCCGTGGTCGTGGTGTCTCTTCACAGCAATAGAAACCCTAACTATGACATATTTATTTTGTAAAAGTGCATTACAATTCCTGATGCCACTTTGGAGTGCAGTGCTCTAGTTGATGTTGCTAACTAGGAGATAATAACACAGACATGGAAGACTCTGTGGCTGCACCTGGGGCAGGGTGCCAATGAGACGAAGGTGGGCATTACTGTTACACAGACCTAGATCTCCTTCTTCTACCTCCAGATCACAAAGGACACCCACAAACATGTTATCTGTGAAGTCCACATGGGAGTCCAAAGACACAAGTCAATTTTGTCAATTTTTAAAAAATCAGGTTTTTTTTTTCCCTCAAGGATGTTCTTAAATAATCAGGAACCAAAGTGAATATACTCAGACAATTTTAAAACAGATTTTATGTGTGTGCGTGTGTGTCCACCTGGTCTGGAACTTGCTATATCAGCCAGAGAGCCAACTGCTTTATCCCTACTCCCACCCCTAAGGGCTGGGATTAAAGACATATGCTGCTGAACACGACCAAGACTTTGTTCTTAATAAAAATATTTCTAAAACCATGTATTTACTCTAGTAAAGGTTTGTAATTGGCTAAAATCATTCCATTTCCAAACAGAATATACCTCCATCAAGAGTAAGCTTTGACCGCCACTCAACAGGCAGGAACTCAACATGTGTCGCATGGTTGGAAAAATGCCTTTCTTCTATTTTTCTTGCAGCCTCTCTCATCCTAAAAAATAAATAAATGTAAGAAAAACTTTTGAGAGTAACTTCATGAATGTCTTTACATGGTGTAAGTATCTCTCATTGTAACGCCTCCATTTCCTGGCAGCTCTGTCCAGCTGTATCCCACTGACTGTGACACTAAGCTGGTTATACTCAGTTACTTTCCTATTTGTCACGCAGGACTTCAGATGCTCCCACCTACACTACATTCTAAATGACATAGTTCTTCAGGGATGCAAGAACATAATGAACACATCCATGTTTTTGTTCATCTCTACATATTGATGTAGGAGGTCATCTATGTGTTACTTTCATTGGTTAATAAAGAGACTATTAAAGGCCTTTTAATAGGGCAGAAAATTAGGTGGGCGGAGTAGACAGAACAGAATGCTGGGAAGAAGGCAATGAGGCAGACGCCATGATTCTCCGACCTGAGACGGATGTAAGTTAGAATCTTCCCGGTAAGTCACCACCTTGTGGTGCTACACAGATTATTAGAAATGGGTTAATCAAGATGTGAGAATTAGCCAATAAGAGGCTAGAACTAATGGGCCAGGCAGTGATTAAATGAGTACAATTTGTGTGTTGTTATTTCAGGTAAAGCTAGCCAGGGAGCCAGGATCTCAGCGGGAACACAGCCTGCTCCTTTTTGCAACAACATATCATGTGTAAAGTCATGAATTATCTCATTTCATCTCCTTTTAAAAAGTTTTCTTTTTAATTAATACATAATTGTGTCATTTCCTTCTCCCTTCCTCTCCTCTCTCTAACTCCTCTCATATCCCTGTATTCTCCTTTCCTACTCCCTCTCAATTCACGGCCTCTTTTTTGCCAATTATTATTGTTACACATGTACATACAGAAGAATAAATATAAAAATACAACCTGCTGAGTCTGTTTATAGTGTTGCTTGCATGTATATAATTTCAGGTATGACCACATGGCACTGGATAACCAATTGGGGACTCATCCTGAGGGTTACTAATTTTTTCTCTCTCTGAAGTAGTTAATTGCCTGTAGCTCTTCATCTAGTGATGGCCCCCCATTGGTTCTCCTCATCCATGCCAGCATGGCTAGTGGTGGTGCCACTGTTCAGGTCATCTCACTGTTGAGGCTTCATGTGCACAGCTGCCCTGTCATATCTAGAAGACAAAGTCTTGCAGAAGACTTCCTGGTCCTCCAGCTCTTGCAATCTTTCTGCCCCCTTTACCTCTTCTTTCTAACGCAATTTTCAATTTTTTACTTTGAAAACTAAGGTATCGATGCACTTACAACTTTCCTTTAGCCAGTTACATGAATTCTGCCACCCCAATAGGATTCTGATGAGCACAGCCTAATGCAGACACTCAGAGTTCACTGGGAAAGCTCCTCTCCTGCTGCCCCTTCCCAGGCGGGCCTTCCTTTCACAGTCGAAAGCAGATCCATTTTATTTCTCACACAAACACTCAACCCAGGCTTCCAAATGTTTGAGGCAATTGCTTTACCACTGAGTTACACCTTGCACACACGAAGTAAATGCTCCACCACTGAGCTACATCCCCAACTATCTTATCTCCAAATAGCATATTTTCTAAAATAACATCTATTCAATAATAAAGTATTACTATCAAGTAATTTCTAAATTTTTGCAAATATATAGTTCATTGGCCTCATTTCCCCAAATGACTATAAAAACTACTTCATAATAACATTAAAACATTTTGTATTTATGCTCCAAATACTGAATGCTCCATTACGCTCCATTCACTGCAGATGACAGACAGGTCCCTCTTTCTTGCAGGCGTTCCCTACAGTCTGTTCACTACTCGTGTCCGAGTGGTATTCACATGGTCTGTCTACTGCACAGCTCCTGCTAAGATGGTGACACAGACAGGCTGAGCAGGTGTCAGCGAGCCCGGAAAGACTCCACAGGATTCCACCTTTTTGTAATAAGTTTTGCCTTCCTTGTACCTGAAGAAATTAAACTTCTGTCTTACTAATGATCTCATGGAGGATATGCCATGCAAACCAATTCTCATGGTCATTGATATCTAAGAAAGGATGCATCAGGACATGATTATCATGTTAAATCATATAACTCATCATAAAACAAAGTCGGAACTAGAGCTTATGAGATGCCTACCGGAGAAACAGGGACTGGGAGAATGCAGGCGGCCTGCCAGTCTCCAGCAACAATACAACTTGGGTTGTACTTTTACTTTCCCCTCTGTGGGCATGGTGACCTTACAGTGTAGCAAGCTCAACAACCGCATGTGCAGGTCCTGGAGGATCGAATTCCTAGAGCTAAACATTTGCTTCATGGATGGCGAATTTTACTGGCAGCCTCTGAACCTGGCGGACTGTGCTTTTCACAGTGACCGACTGTTCTTACTGCATCAGAATCCTGGGCCTCATGAGCTCTGCTGGCAAAGAGCCAAATAAAAGGTGGACCTTTAACACAGCACTCAACTGTTGAAATACACAACTTGCCATACACATATCCCAAGAAGCTCCTAAAGAGGTTTTAGAATAAAGCTGAACATCAATAAGGAGATGAATAACCTGTTTTGTATGTTAAGTCTCCACTGGCTTCTGTGTACAATCTAGAGTTGTTTCCTCTGGGAGCAATTAGTGGGCAGATTATATGGAAAACTGTCAGTTTAAACAATTCTTAATCTTCTCAAAGTTGGACAACTTTGAAGATTCTCAATTTCTGAGGCTCAGAGAGCAAGGAACAAACTTAAAAACTAGCTCATTTCCTGCTGTCAACTCTAAATTAATTATGTCAATTAAGGAGGGAAAGTCACGTCTCATCAGGATACAGTCACTGTTTGGTTTCATCCAGAAACATCACTGATATTAGAAGAGTCAGCACCTCTGTGGATCTGCTTACGCCTTGGGCAGAAGCTGGGACTGTCTGCAAAGAACTCACATGGCTGTGTTTTTTATAATTCTTCCTTGGTCCATCTTCTGTCCGATGCCATGCACAACAAACACGATATGAGAAGTCTGCGAGGGCTTGTCTTCTAGCGTGGCTTCTTCTACGTAACCTCTATGAAGTCTGGTCCCACTACTGGAGGCTGTAGCAAAATTATGGCCTTAAGTTTAGGACTTGGGAAACTGTATTTGCAAAATACATTTAAAAAAAGAAAGAACAGTAATGGTAATAATGTAAGAAAATATTTCATTGGGTGGAAAGAGAAAATAAAGTTTGTAAGATAATATATATTGACTGATGACATAAAAAGTGAATACAAAAGCCAGAAATCATTAGGAAAACAAAAGGATAAACAGAACGTAGAAAAATAAAGGACATCTATATTAAAAACGCACACCAGGTATGGTGGCACATGCCTTTAATTCTAGCACTCGGGAGGTAGAGGCAGGAGGATCTCTGTGGGTATAAGGCCAGCCTGGTCTACAGATTGAGTTCAAGAATAGCCAAGGATATACCCTGAGAAAAAATAGTCAAAGAGAGCTTACTAGTCAAAAAGTACACATATTCAGTCAGATATAAAAAGGTACCCCACAAAATACAACTAACTATAAACAAAAATAATCAGATACATTTATAGCAAATAAAAGAATGACATAATAACATATTCTTAGACTTAAAAATGAATTTTCAAACTTATTGAGGATGCTCTATCTTCACTTAACACTCTTTTCAGAAAAAATATCCTGTGTGTGTGTGTGTGTGTGTGTGTGTGTGTGTGTGCACGTGCGTATGATAGACAGGAAAAGGGGGCAATATGTGGGAGGCATGTGCAAGGTTAAGGAGACAGCCTCAGGTGTTCAGTACCCTCTTGCTCTCAGCTTCCTGAGAGTCAGCCTGGGCCCTGCCTCCTTGGAGCAGTGCTGGGATTTTACATGCGCAGTAAGCGTCTAGGATCGCAGCTGAACACTAAGCGTCTAGGATCACAGCTGCGTGCTATGCATCGAGCTCTTATGGCTTCTGAGAATTTGAACTCAGGTCATCATATTTAAGTGGCAAGTGCCTTTTCTCTACAGAGCCATGTTGCTAACCCTTCTATTTTATTGTAGTAGAACTACTTTAGCCTGGCAGTGGTGGCACACACCTTTAATCCCAGCACTTGGAGGTAGAGGCAGATAGATCTCTTTGTGTTCAAGGCCAGCCTGGTCTACAGGAGTTCCAGGACAGCGAGGGCTGGCTATACAGAGAGAAACTCCGTCTTGAAAAAATACAAAACAAACAAACAAAAAAACCAAACGAAAACAACAACCCCCTCGCCAAAATTAAAAACTACTTTAAACTGTAAAAGGCCAAGAAACAATTCCTTTAGCAAGACTACACAAAGAGTTGCATTGTTTTTCTCACAACCACCATTCCCTCCTCCACTGAAACTGAATCCATGACAACATGGCTTCTGCCCAACTATTCCAGTCACAAGCCCCACTGGTTCCAGCCTCCTCTTCCTTTATGCTATGTACCGACTGTCATGCTCAAGTTTCACTGTCTCAAGGCACACGGCTTTCACATGCAGGAAGGCATTCACTGTCCTTATCAGGATTCTAATTCATAACCATGAGCTGAGGTGTGAATGCATACACCTTAATAAAAGTTTCATTTTACAGGGTTCTTGTCACTGAATTTAATTTCTACTTAAAACATATAAAAACAGATCATCTACTTTTGACTCCCAAAATTTTGATAAGCCAGAGACCACGTAACAATTACCTTTAGAAAATCCCAGTTTTTGGGTAACGGTTCTTGCTATTTTGGATGTTGTTGCATCGCTGTAGAGATACACTTCATCCATGCTGTGCCAGTCCACATGATTCCGACTCAGTTTGAAACTATGAACAGCTGCCGCACAAAAGAAGAATTTCAAGTTCTCCAAGACAGGTTTTCTTAGTGTAAATATTCTAATACTCAGTTTTCTGAACCAATAGTAGCTAACTCAAACACCATATACTTTTAGTTCAGTAGAGAAAATTTCATTAAAAACATGTATGTCCCATAGCAATGCATAGAATTTTATAAATGTTCAACAATGCTATGAGGAACAGCAGAGGGACTGGCGTCACTATATGGTATCAACCTCCTGTGTGAAGGTGATATGGTTCTTGATCATCAAGCTGCATCCGCAGGAGTACGGCTCCTCTCTCTGGGGTAGACATCTATTTAAAAGCTTTCAATAGCTTGGGCACAGAAACTTAAGTTCTATCCCTTTTGTTAATTTTACTAAAAACATCAAGATATTTACTCAATGCAGAACAAAAAAAGGAGGTTGATTTGCTCAAAAGCTAGTGATTGGCACAGTGCCCCTGTCCTACCTAAAGATGAGTTGTATATGACCCCAAATTAAGAATACAGTTCTAGCCGGGCGGTGGTGGCGCACGTCTTTAATCCCAGCACTTGGGAGGCAAGGGCAGGTGGATCCTGGTCAAGACTGTAAGACATGCTGAAGTAGCATGTTCCCCATGGGAAGACATGGCATATTATAAGAAAATCCACTTCTTACATTACAAATAACTTAAAATTTTATGAAAACCAATTCTACTTTACTAGCTCTCAGAATATGTTATTGACCTGTGTGTATGTTGTGTGAGTGTGTCTCTCACAGGACTAACATTCAATTAACACAACTCACGCCAACAACTTTAGTTATACAGAATGTAACCACAGGTGCAGACTTTTAAATAAAAAGCTTTTCACAAATTAAAAGGGTTTAATAACTTTTGCAAGGGCTTTCTAACTATTTACAAAACAAATTATTTTTAATATAGTTTTGAGCTACATGTTTAAAAGATTAAAACTTTATGACATTTAGAGAATATTAGAAATATTTAGAGAGAAGTATAAATATAGCCAATCTCTATCCCTCTGCAAACTGTTTATATGTTGTCTTAAAGTGGAACACCTTAACATTCAAACATCCTAATGGAATGCAGTTTTCATATAGATGTATAATAATGCAAAACTACGGCAAATAGCGCAACAGACACATTTAAAAACAAAAACGACTACTTCTAAACTTTAAGCCAACTGAGCTAGAGCTGGGCGTAAGCTACAGAGAGTAACTGCGATTACTGTACCTTGGGAACGCTTTCGCTTAAGACCTGTGGCGTCTGAGCTCTCCTTATATCCTCTCCATTTGAACAGAGAAGGGAGGGAGAAGGGAGGGAGGTGGTAGACAACTAAGAAAGCAAAAACACTGAGCTTCAAAGTACATTTAAGTGAGTTTTTCTATTGCCTTTTCCTTCTAGTCTTAACTTTTAAAAACTACATTTGACAATTATTTTTTCTAAACGTTTTTAAAAATATAATTTCTAGTTAAAAAAATCAGCTTAATGTCTGTCAAATATATACTTTTATTGAAAGGAACAAAGGCAAATATTATCTATTTATCAGTGACAGACAATCACATGATCATCGTTTAATTCTTTTGCATAGCTACAAGAAATGCATGGCATTTTTGAATGGTAAGAGATTTTTAAGCTCTATATTTCTGATACTAAGGTTATTCAGTGCACCAAATTTGTGATGACATAGTCAAGAGGTGATACACAGTTTGAGGACACAACCATATTTTAAAGAGCTCATTTAGCTCGCCTGAGATACCACAGCATACATTCCAGCTCTCCAGACTTAGGCATGATGGCTTTAAGACTGTTTCAGAGCAAGGCTTCCTTTCACAATTGAGAGAGTTGTTACAAAGTCAGTGAAAATTTTTTTGAAGAAAACCATACTGGAGGCCCCACTTTCAACTACCCCCTTTTGGAAAGATTAATACCATAAAAACAATCTCATTAGAAAAACATACGCTGTGACAGGCATTAAGAAGACAACACGGAAAAGTCAGGCACAGACTTGGTATTTGACAATCAGAAGATGACCGTAAAGCCAACTTGCTCCTTGTTGAATTTTGCTAGCTATATATCGCAGATAACACTCCTTATAGTTAAGTAATTGTTTAGGATACTTGAAACTGAATCTTATAAATCAGTTTACTACTTCAGGTAATTACAAAATTTTTACAATTTAGCTAAAAGTTATATTTTAATAATTCAATTTTCAACTTACTGCCTTCTGTATGAATTTGACATTCAAAGGTTAAATACTGCTCAAATTAAAAAAAATCTTTAATTTCTGTCATATATACAATTGAAGTATATGCAAATATTTATGCAGTAAGGGTTTTTGGGAAATTTTTACAAAGCATTAACAACTACACCTACACATTAAATTACTACATCTACATGCAAGTAGATGGTTTTAAGTCTATAAGCTAGCTGGGGGTTGGAGAGATGGCTCAGTGGTTAAGGGCACTGACTGCTCTTCCAGAGGTCCTGGGTTCAATTCCCAGCACTCACATGGCAGCTCACAACTGTCTGTAACTCCAAGATCTGACACCCTCACACAGGTACACATGCAGGCAAAACACGAACGCACATAAAATACAAATAAATAATTTTTAAAAACCTAGGGCTGAAAGCTGGGTGACAGCAGACCTGTAAATGCCTCTAACATAGAAACAGACATGGAAGCTGGCTTCATCCTGTCTGCTATTCTTTCGTGTGCCTTCTGGTCAGTCACTCAGGAGCAGAGAGGTACAACTAGGCCAGCAAAGATGTTAAACCACATAAAAAGCTGCTAGTGCTGCTAAGGGGTCAGACCAATAGAAACCTCTAAGAAACAATGACTAGATTTTGTAAGTCCAGTGGTGAAATGAATCTGCACCAAATCCCACACTGGGACACATTGGGACACAATGAAATCAAGTGAGCACTCTCAGAAAGCTGGTCAGGCCCAATGATGAATTTTCAACACTATGAAGATAAACACATTACAAAGCTCTTCACTCCCAACAGAAAATTGTGCTTATGAAAACATTTCATGTAATTAAATGGCTGTGGCTCTTTACCATTACACTGCATTTTCACTTAAAAATCATTGGCCAGGGAGCTTAACTCTTTTAAACGCAGACACAGAATTATAGGCATGACTTCTTGTTAGCATTCAGTTAGTGACTCCTATGCACTATTACAGAAGTGTGAACACACTCACAGTGCAGCTGATGGTGCGGCTGTAGAAGCTGATAGCATTAGTAAGATGTCCACACATCAAAGTCTTGTTCAGTAATGAAAGAAGACTGAAGTTTTAAATTATTTAGAATCATTTCCTTACTAATTAATCTCTCAAAGAACCTTTCTTCATCATGTAACTCTGAATACAGTAAGTTTATCCAAGAAGTGGACAGGATAACAATTCCTACAGGAGACACACACAGCAACTCTTCCCTTTATAAAGAAGCTGACTGTCTGGAAAGCTAGTATTTGCTCTTTCCTAGACAGCGCTGGCCCAGGCCTCAAAGGACCCTTTGTTGAGTTTCCTTTTAAGCAAGCAGGGTCCAGATGCCTAGTACTGATCTGGAAAATTCTTTCTCTCAGGGAAAGCAGGTGGCTCTGCACATCTCAAACTTGATAACCACAACTAAACTCTAGCATTCTTTCTTGGACCTCAGGAGAATGAAACAAATTGATTTAAAAAAAGTTAAATCATAAAATCATAACCCCAAACTAGAAGATGGGAATCCTCAGTCACTAAAGACAGAGGAGAAAGCTGGTTAACGGGCCAGAACGCTCCCCGCTTCACCCCTCTCTTTTGAGACAGGGTCTCACTACGTAGCCCTGGATGTTCTGGCACACGCTATGTAGACCAGGCTATTCTCAAACTCATGGACCCTATCCAGAACATCACATTATACTGTGCTGTTGGGTCTCCTCAGT